CAGGCAGCTCCGCACGTGCACGCGGGCCAGGACAGCCCGGCTTCACGAGCCCGGGGCACAGCGGGGATGCCAGGGCTGCGGGTGTATCTGTGCGCCCCAGCCCTCCACAACACGCCTGAGCCCTTCTAACAAGCAGCTGCTGCCAAGAAGTCCCGCTCCTCCCTTCCCCGTTGCAAGCGTGCAGCCCACACCCTTTTATTTTACATGGGCTCCAGCGCTCGTTTGATCCCTCATCAAGTACACTGAACTCACAAAATATCCGCTTTCTCCCCCGCCTTTTTGCTGGGCTCATTTCCTTCTAGTTTAGCAGGCTCAGCGGGGCATCGAGCGAGAGCCAGGCTGCAGTGAGGAGAGCGGCAGGGGCGCACGCAGCGACAGCGACCGGCCACGCCGCTCGGGACCCGCTCAGCCCGCCCCACGGAGCTGCCCATGCGCGGGGGAAACCAGCAGAATCCCCGCCGAGCCTGGGCTCTGGGCTCCAAACCGCGTCGCGCTTCAGCGTTTCTGTCCTGCCTTGGGGTGTCTCTGCAACCACTCCCGAGTGGCAAGAGACCCACCACAAGGCACGGAGGCGGCTACCGAGGCTCAGCGCAGCGCTCAAACCCTCGCTGTGCCGCTAGCGCTGGCCGCAGGGCAAACGCTGCAGCAGGAGCCCTGTCCCACAGCAAGCAAAGCCCCTCCAGCGCGCGAGCAGCGCTCCCAGCTCCGCAGCAGCCCCGTGCTCTTTAGAAGTCACTCAGTCATTAAAGGCAGAGACAAAAGAGGAGCGAGAGGAACCCTCTGGCCAGGCTGCAATCTCATTTACACCAGGCGAAGTGCTGAAACAAAGGGGGAGTTTTCCAGATTTACTCCCATGCTGCCAAGAGCAGCATCTGGCCAGAACCCCTTCACCCGGAGCCAGATTGATTTGAGGGGGGAGTCTCCACATTTCTGGGATGCTGGAGGGAGCCGGGCTTCCCTGCCCGCCACGGCAGCGTGTCCCCCGCACAGGCCCTCCGGCAGCCCGGGATAAACAACTCGGCGGATCCGCAGCGCCGCAGGGGAGGGACGCGGGCAAGCGGCCAGCTGGAAGCCACGAGGCCGAGCCACGGGCCAAGGGGGAAATTCCAGCCAAGGTCACTGAGACAAAGCCTCCTTCTGAGGGAAAGGCCAAGGCAAGCGAGAGCGGCCACGTGGAGCCCAATGGACCTTGGGAGCTTTTTTCTTTCCTTCCCCTCTTGAAAGGGCCACTAAAAGGAGAAAGGAAAAAAAAAAAAAAAAAAAAAAAAAAAGGAGAGGGGGGAAAAAAAAAAAGCACCTTGCATGGAGGTGAAGCTGTCTCAGGGAGGGAAGTGTGGATACTGCCGATACCAACAGTGCCCAGGCGAGTGCTACAGCCGGCCAGGGCTTCGGCTGCCTCGCTGTGCTTTGCGGGAAGGGGTTTGTGCAAGCGCAGCATTCACCAGCACTGGGAGAGAGATAAAAATAGAGCACCGGCACCGGCCATGAGGGCGGGCACCACCTCAGCGGCGCAAACCTGCCCGGAGACAGCGTGAGAGGGCAGGCGGCTGCTCGCCCCGCGCGGTCACTGCTATTCATAGCCCCTCACGACGCCGCGGGCAGCACCCCTGCGGCCCCTGCTCCACACCGCGGCTGGCAGGGCATGCGGAGCGTGAGGGCAGCTCCAGGTGCACAGCGATGCGAGCCCGTGGCCGCCGTGCGGACGGAATCCTGACGGTAACGGGATTAAACGTCACTTGCTGAAAAGCGACACAGTGACACGCTGCGACTCGGCAGCGTAATCCTGTCATTCCTGCCCTCACCTGCTTGCAGGCCCGCACAGAGCCCCGCGTCCTGCGCAGCCTTGGCCCAAACTCCCGGCCGGGGG